TTCCTGCTTCAACTAGGCAAAGCCAGAGTAACTCTAACAAAGGCTGAGAGGTCTATTTGCATTACTGGCCAAAAATCTCAGCCACAGTCATTCACCGCAAAAAAAGATAAGGAGACTTAACTTTTCCTAAAGAAAAAAAAAAAAAACAAACACAACACAAACCACTGTGGTGACTGTTAAAAAAAATTTAGGAGTTGCAAATATCCACATTTCTAAGCTACTTGCCTCACTTTTTCACGCAACAGATGCTGCTTTGTGTGAGCTACTGCATATTAAATCATTCTGACAACCAAGAAAGCATACATTTGTTTGCGCGAGAGAGAAGCATGAATACACACACACAGAGCTATCTTCTCACGCAGAAGCACACAATTATACAGCATTCAAATATTTGGGATGAACTTTGGCCTTTGTTTCAGGAAAAAAAAAAAAAGTCCCCTCCAACAACAATCAGTAACAGAATTCAGCAGGCATCTGGCTGAGCTCACAGAAATCAACACATCTTCCCCAATAAAACACCACTTGTGGGCAGCTATTTGAAAGTTTCTTGGAAAATTTTACTCTAGATGGGATATTTCTACACACGGCCTTTTAAGATTTATAATGGTCTTACGGATCGATGTCGGAATGGAGGCTGAAAATAAAACCTATGTTAATTCAAAAAAAAATGAAAAAAGAAGTAATCAGTTATATTCACCCTCACGTTTTGGTTTGTTTTTTTTTCACTCCAAACGATCCCCTTCAGCTAAGCCATTTACATTCCCGATTTACAAAGTAATTTGAAAACAAACACACAGCAGGGCTCTCAATCACCTCTTCAGAGCAGTATCTGCCTAGCTAATATGGAAGAAACCAAGCAGCCCGAGCAAAACAGCTACATTAATCACCAGAAAATCTTCATGGAACAGCACTCGAGAAGAGGCTGAAACTTTTGACAATGAGCGTATCCACAATAACTGCAGTCCGCAGCGCTTCCAACTTTTTCTTTTTTTTTTTTTAATCTCGGCTGGAGACATATTTTCTCCCTTACATTCCCCTCTTGTTACTAGACAGTAATCTAATTCTGCAGCCAGCTATTTTTTTTTTTTTTAAACTATATATAGAGCCAGGACGGAGCTTGCAGGAGAGGACTAACCCCGCACCCAAGTGCGGCAGGGCTGGGAAGCCAAACAAACCCTCTGTGCCAGATTCCCCCCGGAGAAAGCTGCTG